ATTTAAATGGTGTTATGTGAGGCCTAAATCTATTTTTTTTAATATTTATATTACCATATGATTTTTAATTGAAATTTACTAAAATTCTTGGATATAACTTACTATATCCCATTTCACAAGACTAACCCTACGAGATATATATACAAACGTTTCCTTCACCCCCCTCAATTCTAAACTCTAAAGCTGAAAATATAATATATATATATATATATATATATAAAGTAAATTGGGAATATTATTAGAATTAAATTTTATTTAATTGGTTAAAATAACACCCTCGATTTGTTGTTAGTCGATACTTACCGTGCTTTTACTATTTATGGTTGTAAATATTTCTTTATTATAATAATATGATATATTTTTATAAAGGGATTCCTTTAACCCGCCTCTCTTTAATTAAATAACAAGATTCCCTTCAAATTTCGGGGAAAAAAAAAAAAAATAAACAAAAGTTTTCTATCGTTAATTAGCTAATAATGGAAAATTATCTCTTTATCATTTATTTTAATACAGAAAACAATTAATAATAAAGGAATTTCTATTTATTTTCTTAAAGGATTTTTGTCAGTTGATTATATGTAAGGGGAATAATTACAATTAATCGTTTCATAAAAATTGTAAAACGCAATTGTACGGTCATATTATATAATATAAAAATAAAATTGCATGCAAGAACAGAATCTACGAAAAGTCCTATTTTGACTAATAGGGCTCAGTAAATTGTTTGGGCCGTTGGGTCTTAATTGTTTTGCTGGCTGGCCTGGTATTAAAAAGGCTTTGGTGGGTTTATTCGATTGGTGGGCTGGCCTATTAACATTAAGGCCTAGGATTATTTGATTGTGACTGGTGGCTGGATTTCTAGTAGGCATGGCAATGGGCGGGGCAGCGCAGGGATCTCATTCACTGTACCCATCCCCATCCTCAAAATCAATCCCCACCCCTGCCCCATCCTTGTTACAACTTACAAGGATGATAGGAATTCCCCTTCCCCGCCCAAAGGAGACTCCATTAATTTTACATAAACATAAATTAATTTGAGTATTACCAAACACAATAGTTAATTCTCGTATACATAGCAAACACTTAAATTAATCATTTAAACATAATTAATTACATATAAATATGAGTTAGGGTTTGTTGTTGTTTAGGGTGAGGGAAAATGGAAAAATATGGGTTTATATAGGTAGGATAATTGTGTAATTAAGTGAAATATATGGGTATTAACGAAAAGTATATATATATATTTTTTAATTTTATATATTATATACGAGGCAGGGCGGGGCGGGGCAGGGGAAAGGCATCACCCACCCTTGCCCCATCCCCGAGGATGGGGATTAAAACGCTCCCCATCCCCGAAAAAATTGAGGCTTCACTGCCCCATATTGGGTAGGGCGGGACGGGTCCCCAGAATTCCGGGGAACATTGCCATGCCTAATTTCTAGAGGTTAGTTTATCATTTTTGCGAATATTGAAGTACAGACAGTCAGACAGGTGGTTAATTGTATGTTTTGAAAACGTTTGAGACTAAGTTGAAATGAGTGACAAATATGGGGGTAAATAGATATTTTTCATGTTCACATTTTTTAACATTAATCATTTTTTACATGCTAGTGTTATGAAGAACTCGAGTTCAACTTTGGCAATCAAAGATCTGATGAGAAGAGAGAATAAACGTGCACGTTCAAAGAGTTTATGAATCTTAGTATCAGAGTTAATATGGTAATTCTTGTTGAATCTCTTACATCATAGTGTCTTCAGCGAATGAATACCTTGTGAGTCTAATCAAATCTCTGGAAGCTCTTAATGTCTCGGCTCTCACCATCTTCTCTCTACTCTCTTCAAAATGAGACAATCAACAATTTTGCCAATTGACACTCGATTCATAACATAAAAACCATCAAACTGATTCACACCGTATTTTATAAACCCATTCACACTTGTTTCACAAACAAACCAACAAACAAAAACAAAATCAGACTTTGTTCATACAAAACCAGCTCTAGCTCGAAATAAAACATACTTCTAATCAAACAAATACAACTGAAATACAAAGCAAATTAATGGAAGTCAACAAAATTACCCAAAATTCTTCAATAAAGGCAAACCAAACATGACACTACTTAACCAGCCCACAAAATATTGTACCAAAACCAGGCCCTTTGTACAATATAATTGCATAAAACAAGCAACTGATACAATCGAATCAAAAACTGCAAAAATTGCAATAGGCATCCGATTAAACAAACTAATGGACAAATTCAGTTTGTATACACTAATATCACAAACTGATAATTCAGTATACATATAGCAATTAAAAAGCTCATGCAATTCCCGATATCAAATAGGCTATTTGAAAATTAACAAACATGCAACAATTGAATTTGATATTTTATTTTAGGATAATTATTTCCTCCCCTTAATTTTTTTTTTTGTAAATTTTTCTTTTAAAAATATTGCAATGTACTTTTACTCTTAATTAACTGTGAAAAGATTTGTACAAGTAATCTCAAAGAAAAAAGGCATAAATTAGGGTTTTAAATGATGGGAAATTGAATTTTATTATCTCAAGTAGGCCAAAACAAAAATTTGACACCTGTTGGCAATTAAAGCACTAATACTTTTGTTTAAACTCTTTTGATTCTATGCACACTCTGAATCTCAAACATATGGTGAGTACATTAAAGCTTAATTCCATAATTTAATTAAGAATAATTCCAAGTTAATTAATTAAAACTTTCATTAATTTTATTGTAACTTTCTGCTAAAGGGGTCATGGGATTGAATTTGTATAAATACAAGAAAAAGGGTATGGCTGATTGAGGGTAGGGTTGGCAATTTTCGAGGACGAGGCCAAATGCCTTCATATTTAGCCCTATCACCGTTAAGATATTGCTCCCTCTATCTCCTGCCTTAATCTCGGGTTTTTGGGGTTAAAATTGACTTAGGTCTTAGTGGGTATTTCATTTAACTTATAAGATCTAAACACATGAGTGTTTTTATCAGTATCGGAAATATGTGGGTTCAACATAGTTTATCTTGAACCTTTAGGGCGTCAATGTAAACATCCCATTTACGAAAAAAAAAAGTTTATAGCAAGGTTATTGATATGAATGATTTTTTTAATCATTAATAGCAGGGTTATTGTCAGAGACTTCCCCCAAGGTTTTACGACTTACACTGATGCCCCCGTTGTATAAAAGACCTTCCCAACCTCCCTTAACATTTGATAAAATATCACTAACCTCCCTTATCCTCCATTTTCTAACAGTGAACCATTAAACTATTTGTGGCTAACTATAATTATTTACTTTTGTGTAACGGTGAGATGGAAAATGAACTCTTTTTGGTGATGATTTTGTATTTTTTTTTTATATATAAAATATGGANTTAAAAACTTACAAATACCCCCCCACCTGGCACTTGTTAACAAAAATAAAATTACAAATTATAAATTCAAAATTACAAACTCCATTACTTTGTAAAGGTAGATTCTCAAAAGTCAAACCAACTTACTTTAAATGTTATGAAATATAAATATAAATGTATTCACATTACTTTTTCTACAAAAATTTATATTAACTCCCCTAATCTTTAATTTTATTTTATATTAGTCTCGGTTCCTGGTTCCTGGTTCCGGTTCTGGTTCCTAACTATAGGAACCGGAACCGCACAGTAACGGTTCCAAAAATTTGGAACCGGAACCTACCCATTGACGACTGATTCTGGGTAGGAACCAGAACCAAACCCAGGGTACCCGCCGGTTCCGGTTCCAATTGGTTCTTTTGAACACCCCTAATAACAAGGGTATTGATATGAATAATTTTTTTAATCATTAATAGCAGGGTTATTATCAAGACCTCCCCCAAGGTTTTACGATTTATCACTGACACCCCCAAGGTTACCCTATTTTACAAGTCATTATTAAATGTTAATTCTTTTTAAAGTCGGTGTTCACTACTATACAATAGTACAAGTTTATCTTAAAAAATTACTAATCACGTGTTTTTAATTAATTAAAACCTCGTTATTATATTCTTGTTAAATTCAACGATAAACTTTTTTAAAATGACGTTGAGATCAAGATTGTACAATATTAGGTCCTCAATTGTTACTCCTATTTTATTAAAATTTATTAAACTAGTATATTTATTTTCGTCACCTACTCATATTTAAGTCTTGTAATTTTTAGTTAATATAATTTATTACACCTTAAATTTTATTCCTTGAATATAAATGTAGGTGGTGAAGTCCCACTCCCACATTCAAATTTCAAGTTAAACTCAAATGGGCCACATTTTTTATAGGCTTAGTGCGGGCCACGCCCATACTAGATTCATGTTGATTAAATGGATAGGTTAGATGTCACCGAAATTTAATAATGAAAAAAATATTTATTTGAATTATTAAAATTTATTGGGAAAAAGTTCTTGAAAATAAAGTTAGTAGTATATAAAATTCAGTATTCTCTAAAAGAAATTCATTACAATTTTAATTATTACATAATCGGGATAATCTTATTTACAGACCATTTGTTTATTTTAAAATTGAATTATATTTTTAAAGATAATATTAGACTTTAGTGCATGTGTTTGTTATCGTTCATGAAGTCAAATTTTGACAAATTCAACCACAAATTAACAACAAACACTAGACTCATCACATATTGGTTGGAAATTATTATAAATTGTAACCCAAATCAATAATCAACCCAAAAGTTATTATCCATCTAACAACATTTCTTATCATATAAATAATACAACAAAATATAATAAATCCATGACGTCGAAATTATCATACGAACATGAATCAAAATTCAAAAGTGAATATGAGGACATAACGTTTAACATTTTCATGTAACAAACCATTTGTATTTTATAGTATATTACTGAAGATAACATTAAGGAACATAAATTAGATCCAAGGATGGATAATGAAACATAACGTTATCCCAACAAGATAACATAACATATTTTTGGGTGCACGCGGTGTCGGATAATTGTTTAACTGTATGTTTCACCTGATGAATCACCCACCATTGAAGAATCTCCAAAATCAAAAACCATTCCACCATTGTTACTGGGATCAAGAATGCCGCCACCATTCATCATATTCTGCACCAAATTCTGACCAACCTGTTGAGCCGCACCTTCAACAAACCCTTGAACCGCAGCATTCATCAAAGAATTCCCACTCAAACATGGCTGCTGCTGCTGCTGCTGAAACTGCTGATAATTATTACTTTGCATCTGCATGCCTCCCATGCTTTGACTATGCACAAACTGCTGCTTATTCATCACCCCATTATGATAATTTCCCCCTGGAAACGACATAGAGTGCTGAATTTGATGAGTATTGGAAGCGCAATCCAAATGCGCATCAAACTCACAGTTCCCACAATGATACAGCCAATGATTCGCCCCGAACTTACGACAAATATCGCAAGAAAATCCTTTCGCTTGATGTGGAGGAGAAAACGAGAGCGAGCGGCAGGCGTGGGCGTGGTGGGTAACGTAGAGTGGTTTGGAGGCGCAAAGAATATGTAAATCGAAGTCACAGTTATTGAAGTGGTAGCTGAAGCGGTGGCTCTGGTGGCCGCACGCATCACAGTTGAAGACGCCGCCGGAGTAGAGCGGTTTGGGGAGGAGGGAGAGAGGATGGAGAGGATGAGAGGGGTGGTTGATGAGCTGAGGCATCTGGGAACATGAAAGATGGAGGGAGAAATTTGGGCATTATAAGCCTAGAGTAGTGGCCTTAACCAAGTATTCATGCCTAAACTCTCTGGAAATTAAGTAATTGACATTGGCAACACTAGAACTTTCTCTATATTTTTTAAGCATATAATTGTTTTTTTTTTTTTTTTTTTTTTGGTAATAGGAGTATCCAAGTCAACTTACATACACCTCAATTAATCATCGAGATCTATTGAACATCCTATAAGTCCAAAGGACAAAGAAGTCACAACATTATTGTGGTATGTGGATCTAAAGTTTAAACCCAGAAACTTAAAGATATGAGCAAACCTCTTTGATTGTTAGACTAACCTTTTGGGGTTAATTTTTAAGCATATTCTTTTCAAAGAAAGTTGATTGGACATTAGTTATATTATATAAAACCCTCTTTAACATTATTAAAGCATTATGAAACATTCCCAAAATTAACATAACAAGCATATTGAAATTAAATTATCGAAAGGGTTAAAAGCCATTGCCCCCCTAAGGTATGATATAAAAAGAAAAATTACCCTAATGTTTCTAAAATAACAAAAATTCTTTTATCGTTAATAAACTATGAGATGTTAAAATTTACTTAGTTATAAGTTAGAACATATTACCAAATTACTTTTTTACCATTTATTTTAACACTTAAAACTTAACAGTATAAGATTTATGTTATTTCCGAAACTTCAGAATTTTTTTTGTTATTTTATCATACTTCAAGCGGATTAATGTTATTAACCCATATTGATGAAAAAGACTTACACTAAATAAAGTGGCAGGGACTCATGCTTTTCATCAGCGTTTGTAGTCCAACGGTTAGGATAATTGCCTTCCAGGCAATAGATTCGGGTTTGACTCCCGGCAAACGCAGAGCCCTAACCGTATCCATTTTTGGATTTAGATTTATTTGCATTTTGCATCTACGAACAAACTTGTACATAACGTTGTAAGGGGTTATTGAATTACAACAGAGGCCAATCTTCTTTTATTTGTTTAGCATTTGATGGAGCTTTTAAGCTTAGAAATTGTTAGGCATACTGCAATTCTTGTAGGGTACTATATCTTGACTTCAAAAAGACAATCCATTCCCACCCTCAAACTCCATTTCCTTCTTTAAGTTTTCAAAGTTTGTCACCTCCAACATCTCTTCAACAAATTTAAACACTCATTTCTCCAACAAATAAAACCCGGTTTGAGGATCTTTTGGAATGCCTAGTAAACTCGTAAAAATCTCACAAACTTTTAGTTAATGACTTCTCAAAACAGATTCAGCATGGCCATTTTTGTAGTTACAAAAAAAAGGTGTTATATACACTCTCTGACTCCACGTCCAAATAAAAGTGGTCAAAAGTTTAAAATACACCATATAGAATCAATGGATTCATGCTAGAATCCCTCCAACATTAACTTTTATTTTACCCCTCCATGATGATGATAATCTTGATATACCAATTAAAATCTGTAAAATTTTGTCTTCGTGTTTGGTTTTTGTTAATCAACACATGCTTTCTAAGCATCTTCCCTAAATAAACAAAAACCTAAGTTTCAAACCCCACCAAAACCCTAGAGCAAAAACTCAAAGTGAGGAGACCCTTTCAACCCAAGATTTGAGCACTCCATGATTACAGATACAATTTAACTCTATGGGTTAATATAACATTATCAAAATATTGACCAACGAAGGATGCAAAGAAATAACTCAGCAAACAAAATCCAACTATCCAACCTCTGAAAAGTGGGTTTCAATAAGGATAAATGGAGCAATATAGCAATGTCTCGATAATATCCATAACAAATTTTGAAACAAAACCATTAAAAGACTAGTAATTTGAAATCCAAAATTCTCTAATACAAAAAATTCTAGAAAAAACAAACTATCGTTTTCATACTGACGGTAAAAAGAACCAAAAACTCCGAAAACATTACTATAACATGAAATGGATAGGTAATCATTCTTCTTCAAGAAATATTGTGCCCTTTTCACTGATATAGATACCGTCAAGGAATTTCCTAATATCCTTGTTCTTGACATGGCATTTCTGTTCAAAACAAAGATAAACATAATGGGGTGATAACCTGATTAATCAAAGCACATGACCGAGACACGAGCTCAATGTCATTCTAATATGAACAGTTTATATGCAATAAAAGAAAATAAATGACTAGAATTTTTTCCCTCTGCTTTATTGACTTGACAAGCTTTAAATACAAGTAGAGGTAAAACAAATTCACCAAATGTATTTGGTGCTGACATCTAAACCTAAGCGGCCTGGTTTTAACATTTCTCTTTGGGGATGTTTGGTTGGCGATAATCTGAGATAATGGGGGTTATGTAATCTTATATTATTTGATTACTACGTTTGATTGTCAAGTAATATAATATTCCAGTAATCTTCAAATACCAATAGTAGTTACTATTGGTAATATTGGAAGTAATCTGATTACTCTATTTTCTTAGGTATTTTAAGATTACCAGAGTTATCTTTTTTTGTTACAATTTTATCCCTTATTAATAAAAGTTTTGGATAATAATGCCCTCATTTTAAAATAAATTTACATTAATATCTTATTTCAATTTTACCCTTGTTTAATTAAAATTTTGGACAATAATGTCCTTATATTTAAAACAATTTACAGACCACCATTGCCACCTAGCCATCACCACCACTGCCACCCAGCCACCACCGTCGACAACGGACCAACCACCACGGACCGCCGTCGAAAAGTTGTCGGAGTCCCTAAAAAAGAACGAGATTCAATGGGAGGCTCCGGGAGGCTTCGATATGGCCGTTTCTGGCCATATTGATGGCCAAAAAGGGCCATATCAGGCCAGATCTATTCTGGCCGGAATAGATCTAGCCGCTAACGGCCAGGTCCATGGCTGTTAATGGCTAGATCTCGCCCAGATCTGGCTGATAATGGCTAGGGATCTAGCTTGATATGGCCGTTTTTTGCCATCAATATGGCCAGAAATGGCCATTTCGGAGCCTGTTGGTCACTGTGAGCGACTGGTGAGGACTTTCGAAGACTTCCAGTGGTGGTTTACGGTGGCGGTGGCGGCAGCGGCAGCAGGAGGTGGGGTGATTTCGTAATAAATTAAAGTTTTATATAAGCGATGGTGTTTTAACTAAATCTGAAATATTGGGGGTTAAAAGAAATTATTCAAAAATTAATAATAAAAATATTATCATATTAATATTTGAAAAGGGGACAATTTAGTAATTTAAATAACATACCCACCAATTTATTCCCCATAACCAAACATATTAATATAACATACCCACCAACTAACCAAACACATTTTCCTAAAGATTCCCCGTAATCTTCCAAGGTAATCTATCTTTCCAATAATCCAACATTCCCAGTAATCTAACATTCCTGAACCAAGCACCCTCTTAAGGATATTGAACAAGTTAATGTGTCTCATGCGCTTCATCTAAGATTTAACTCACCAAATAAGTATTCAATTAAGTATTTTAAGTAGATAAACATAAACAATGTTATATATTTCAAAAAAGAAATTCTGGTAACTCATAATTTTATAAAGAATGAAAGGAATACACCTAAAGGGGAAAACCTCCCCATCACCCCGACCCTTGAGACACAACCAAGGATCGAGGGAAAGCAAAAGAATTAAGCAAGCAAGTTGGCCCGAACAACCTTGTCACAAAAAAAAAAAAAATAATAATATAATAAAAAGTAAAAGAGCCAAGCAAAACAAGGATGTACAATTTGCAATTCTACCCATATTACTTTCAATTTTACAAGATAATAGTGGGGTGTTAAAGTATCTATAAAAAAAATAAATTTAATTTAATTATTTAAACAAGCTTTTGGGCCATTTTGGGCTCGTTAAAAATTTCTCCTAACAAACAAATGAATAGAAAAGTTATGAGTTAATCTCTTAATTATTTAAACAAGCTTTTGGGCCACTAAGGGCTCGTTAAAAATTTCTCCTAACAAACAAATTAATAGAAAAGTTATGAGTTAATTTATAGTGTGCTATCTGCTGGTGTCTTCTAGTTAAATGTTCACAAATCAAGCTTAATTCTATTGCTAACTCATGACAATGAAGTGAAGAATTAATGAGTGAACACACCTACTTATAACTTATAATGGAGTTTGAAGATTGATAAAAGCATTGAAAAAACAGAGACACCTACTTACAACAGAGTTTGAAGATGGTAAAGCATTGAAAAAATAAAGGTTAATTAGTAGGAAGAATATGGGGAGCATAAGAAAGGAAAATAGGAGAGAAGAATAATGTCACCTTCACGTAAAATGTTAAAAAAGAAGAATTTTGTCACCTTGAGCTCAACAGTTGAAGTCTTGGAGCACTTAGTAGCAGGGAAACTTTGGGAGCATTTTGCAAAAGATGAAATGAAGATGGTAGCCCGTCTTCGGTTTTTAAGTTTATGTGAATGGTTGAATACATGAAACCACTGTGCTAGCTCTCGCTCACTTTTCTATTACTCACTAACAATTGCTCTGCTCATCGAAACCCCACACACCTAATCACACGCCACCCTCCCCATAAAATTCATCACGTTCACTACAAGTGCGTCATCCTCTTATACACAAATCCCACATGTCACTCTTCTTCAAGTGTCGATTCTATGGCTTTCCCTGGCCTTCAGTAATCAATCTCCACGTGATCAAACTATTGATGCAACAGCTAATTCAGTCGAGTCTGTTGACTATGATTGCGAGAAAGCCAAGCTAGCTGCTAGCCACTAGCCATAACAGAGCGAGTTTCCCACCTAGGTGAACCTGAAGCTAGAGCACAGGTTGATTTTGTTCAGCATTTGTTGTAAATGGGTAAGCAACAAATCGGCGAAATCGCATATTAATAATGCCTGTAAGAAAAAATAGATTTGTGTATAAGAGGATGACGCGCTTGTAGTGCACATGAGGAATTTTATGGGGTGGCTAGTGTATGATTGGGTGCGTGGGGTTTGGATGAGCATGGTAGTTGTTAGTGAGTAACATAAAAGTGAGCAAGAGCAAGCACAGTGGTTTCATGCATTCAACCATTCACATAAACTTAAAAACCGAAGATGGGCTACCATCTTCATCTTCTGCAAAATGCTCCTAAAGTTTCCCTGCTACTGAGTGCTTCAAGACTTCAACCGTCAAGCTCAAGGTGATAGACTTCTTCTTTTTTAACATTTTACGTGAAGGTAACATTTTAGGGTGTAAATGTATATATCCCATTTAGAAAAGAAAAAAAAAATGCTCATGAAAGGGTATTGATATGAATAAATTTTTATACATTATAGCAGGGTTATTTTCAGAGACCTCCCTTAAAGTTTTGGGATTTATATTAGCCCTACTTGTATAAAAAATATTCACAACCTCCACGAACATTTGATAAAATAGTCACTAACCTCCCTTATCCTGCATTTTCTAAACAGTGATCCATTATGAGATTTGATATGAATTAATTGCCCATTGAGATTTTTTTTTTTTTTTTTTTTTTTTTTTTTTTTTTTTTTTTTTTTTTTTGGACTTAATGATGTTAATTAGACATAAGTATGATTGAATAAAATTTGTACGCAAATCTCGTATAATCTATTAGGGTTTAGCTATAATACCTTGAAGGCACCTATACCCTTTTTTACATGTAATAATTAAATGTTAAATTTTTAATTAATTAAAACCTCATTATTATAATCTTGTTAAATTCAACGCTAAACTTTTATAAAAGATATCGAGATCAAGATTGTACAATATCCCATTTTGTTACTCCTATTTTATTAAACTTTATTACACTGATATATTTATTTTCATCACCTACTCATATTAAAGTCTTGTAATTTTTAATTAATAATTCATATCAGAAAATAATGGCTAAAAAAAAAGTACATTACACTTTAAAATTTATTCCTTGACATTATTCAAGTTAAACAAAAATGGACCACATTTCTTTATGGGCTTAGTACGGGCAGTGGCCCATACCATATTCATGCTGATTAAATTGGATGGGTCAAATGTAACCGAAATATAATAATGAAAAAATTATTTATTTGAATTATTAAGATTTATTGGAAAACTTCTCAATCACAAAATTAGTATATTTTTTTTTATATTTTAAAGATAATATTAATTAAAGTCAATTCATATTAGACCGTAATGCATGTGCTTGTTGTCCTTCATGAAGTCAAATTATGACAAATTCAATGACAAATTAACAACAAACTATAGACTCATGATTAATGCATATGGATTGGAAATCATTATACATTGCAACCCAAGTCAATAATTAATTCTAAAGTTATTATAAATAATGCAACAAAATATAACAAATCCATAACGTCGAAATTGTTATATAAATGTAAATTAAAATTCAAAGCTGAGTTACTCAAATAACATAACATTTTCTTATGTATACGTCCCATAAATCTTCAATTCCGTCTCATATAACAAACCAATTGTATTACATGGTATGTTACTAAAGATAACATTAGCAACATGAATAAAAAAAGACCGCTGCAAAAGTCTTCCCATTCTGCACCAACAGTCTGACCAACCTGTTGAGCCGCACCTCCAACAAAACCCTTGAGCCGCACCTTCAACAAACGGCTCACCTCCAACAAACCCTTGAACCGCAGCATTCATCAAAGGATTCCCACTCAAACGTGGCCGTTGCTGCTGCTGATTCATCACCCCATTATGATAACTTCCCCCCGCAAAACGAATTAGAGTGTTGAATTTGATGAGTATTGGAAGCACAATCCAAATGCGCATCAAACTCACAGTTCCCACAATGATACAGCCAATGATTCGCCCCAAACTTACGACAAATATCGCAAGAACATCCGTTCGCTTGATATGGAGTAGAAGACGAGCGCAAGAGGCGGCGAACTATAGAGGAAATTCACAATGTCAACCTGCCTAATTTTAAAGCCAGAATCTTCTTCTTAGTTTCACTAATCAAATGCAAATCAATAATACTACTTTGCATTGTACTCAGATTAGTAAAGATCCCAATTACAACTTTAAAACAACCATTCAGATTAACTATTTTAATTCAACAACAGATTTGTTTTATCGCATATTCATACCTGAACGCTGTGAGGCTGATGGGCCACGAGCAGCCGGAGGGTAGCGGGCAGGACGGTAACCAGCTGGCGGATAACCTTGCGGTGGATATGCCCCAGGCTGAGGAGGGTACTGGCCTGGAGGATATCCATAACCTCCATGACCAGCCATACCAGCAAGATTTGAAAACTAAAACCAATGGAGAAAGAGTGCCTAAATGGGGGATAATATAACAAGTTTTGAAAGCAACTTCGGAGCAACTTCCGACTTTAAAGATGCTTCTACCCAGTTTCAGTATAACGTTTACACATTGTTATCGGATGAGAATTTTTGGATAATATCATTTGAGATATATTTATTTTATTTTTTGTGATGGTAATATGACAATTGAAAAAAAAAAAAATTTGATGGGCGTGAACTGTGAAAGGAAAAAGGGGAGGGGGAGGACCAAGACTTGGAAGAAATGAGAGAAGTAGCGCCAGAAATTGACAATTTGAAAGGCTAATGAACTTGACATAAATTTTGGGCCCCACCCAATCTGGTTTCTCATACTAAAGGTAACTGAACTAAAAAGAAAATGTATCAAAATTGGACTCTCCAGATCTTATAGGATTCAGAATTAGACCCATTATACATAAAAACACAAATGGGTTTTAAATCTCTTGGATCAGTAGTTGAAGAAGACGGAGAAGAAGAGGGTCAATGTAGCAAATTGAAGAGGAAGTGAGAGTTGAATGATGATTAGCCCATGAATTATGAATAAGACCACGTTAGCTTAGGTAGGAAAATGCAAAAATGGGGATGAAATTGGAGAAAGGAAAAAGTAAAAGATATAAAAAATTTGGCTTTTTGTTAATCAAAGAGAAAGGGAGGGTTTGTGAAGTTGCGTGATTATTGGATTCGAACTTCGAGATCACTTTCAATTCACTATTACTAAATTTAAAATGACCGGAGAAGGTCTCACACACATAGATACATGGTTTGTTTTTTTTTTTTTTTTTTTTCAATTCACAATTATCAGGTACATAAATATTTTTTAGTAAGACTTTTTTAAGGGTGGTGGCGCTGTTGGTGATTGAGATGATATTGTTGTAGGGATGGGCATAATACCCCCTCCCCGCAAGGACCCATCCCCACCCGTCCCAAATTAGGTGGAGTTTCCCCAAATTATTCGGGATTTGGGTCAGGCTCGAGCCTAAATCGATCCCCAAATTTGGGGACGAGATTAGTTGTGCCCCGCCCCGTTTATATATATATATCCCCAAATTTGAGGACGGGATTAGTTGTGCCCCGCCCCGTTTATATATATATATATATAACTATTTAATCCTATATTAATTTTAATAGTTGAAAATAAATTAATGAAGTTATAAATTATACAATAACAAATTATAATTGTGTGAATATTTTATGAAACATTATACAAATATGTAATAAATAAAACTAGATTAAATATAATAAATTATTATCAATATTTGCAATACGTAATAAATATGTTATATATGTATAAAGTATCATTCGATATACATAATATATATATTATTTATGTATAATTTATCATTTGATATTTTGATTGATTACAATAATTAATATATATATATATATATATATATATAGTCCCTTATTGAATCAATTCCATTACCTAATTATCATTGTTATATTATGGTAGTTATTTATTTAGAAGTTATTATAATATATATGTATAATGTATCATATGTAATACATTATGTATAATGTTGTGTATTATTTATAATATTAATGAGACATTATAATGTATAAGGTATAATTTATTTAGAATTTATTATAATATATTATATATTATACATTATACATAATATTCTATTATCCGTAATCATAATATCATATATTTATATATTAATACTTGTTACTCGATATAATAATACATAATATTATACCATTAACATATAATATATTTACATACATGTATAATGTATGTATAATGTATCATAATTATAATTTTGATATTCTGATTCATTATAATTTTTTTTAATTATTAGAAATTAAAAAAAAATTATAATGCAAAACCCCAAACGAGGATTTCGGGGATTCTTCGAATTCCTCGTTTGGGGATCAAGCCTAATTCAAGGATTCTCTTAATTACCTGTCTGAGCTACAGGCCGAGACTTCCAAAACATTATACTTATTCTTGTGGATATATTTTATTGCATACGTTATTATGGGTGCATATAGTTTATCTTACCAGTAGAACTATGCTATAATTGCACTTTTATTGTAAGACATATTACATTGTCAATTGTGCATCCTTTTGGTCATGTTATAAAATTTTCACTTTCTGGTGATTCAGTGATGATTATAATTATATTTACGTTGTCACTATGTTCCTTTTTCCAGGCTCTTGTTTCAGATCCCTTAGCGAATGTTGATAAAGGAAACACAGACATTTTAATGTATTGTATAGGAGGTATCCGCTGTTGTATATTCTACTATCCTTAGGTAGTTCACTGTTTTCATTTTTCCTTGTCATTATAATATCATGTTTGATGTTAAAGGTGTTATATCAATCTGGATATACTTTTCAATTAGATTGATTCCTTTTGTTGCATAGAGCTCTTATAAGAGTTGTTAAAGAGGCACAAGTAGTTTTCTGTTTAAAGTTATTAATGGATACACAGGAATATATTTAGTTTTTTTCGGTTCTTCCAATTTACTTTGACATTATAGTACTACAAGCTTAATTTTCTTCCCGTTTACAAAGTATTCATTTTTTTTATTTTTATTTTTTTGGCAGACAAAGGGGTTTCCGAAATTTGTACACCTTGAAGGGAGGTGTTTCTCACTATCTTAAGAATGAAGGTCCTGTAGAGTGGGTTGGGAATTTGTTTGTGTTTGATTCCCGTCTTTCTCTCCCACCTGGAACCTACAAGCCTGAAGCTATGGCTGAAGCAAACAAGACTGGACAAGTTTCTGAAAACCCATTTGCTACGTGCTATATATGTGATTCACAAATTTCTGAGTTAAGGCATCGAAACTGTGCAAATCTTGATTGCAACCTACTCTTTCTGTAAGTCACTTTTCTCTCTTTCCTCTTTCTCCTGTAGTTTCTGTATTTTCATAACTGGGCTCTGAAGAGCCAGTTCATGGTAGATGCAGAGGTCTCTGGAATTTCACTTTTTTTCATGACCTTGATTGTGGGAACTGCAAATTTGTGATCAAATGAAGACCTATTGGGTTTATCTTGCTCACATCCCCTGAAACAAAATCCTGATTATGCTCTTTCAATATATCTCTTAGTATTTTTGTTCTTTTATCTCAATTTCGTCATTGGAGAACTGAAAATCCTTAAAAAAAAGGTCATGTATGGAATAGAAGACCCAAGACTCCAATTGCTTTCTCTTCAAATTTCTATTATCACTTTGCACAATGGCACTCATCTTTTACTGTTTATCTTTTCGGTTAAAAGTTTGTACATGGTATTTTATTATACATGCAGTCACCACCTCTTCCCCTTATAACACTAGGTTTGTGAATTAAAATGAAGATGACTTTGAAACCAAGCCTGTTTTTATGTGTCTTATTCAGATGTTGTTCCGACTGCGTGAAGACTTTGCAAGGATGTTGCTATATAAATTGCACTACTGCCTCTCGACTTAGACCCGTTCTTCCTGGACATGAAAGATACCAAAAATGGCATATATATCGAGATTCAGAACTGCAAACAAGCTGACAATCTGACCATTTCTTTATGCAATATAGCAAGTGGATAAATTTTTCGGTGTTCATCTGGCGAGGATCTTCTAATTGGGATAATGCAACCTGTGGTTATTACTGGTTTTCAAAATTTATGTTTCTAGCTAGATTCTGACTTTATGAGGAGGAAATAGCATGATCTGCATTGTGTATTCGGCTTTCTCCACCTCCATATTCTGGTATATGCAAAAATGTTTAAAGGGAACAAGAATGCACAAGCAAATGTAAGATCTAGGCCAGACAGCTATGTATTAGCTTGTAATTTGTAGCCGCCTAGATAAAATTCTGAGCTTGTAGTTTTGACAATGTATCTGAAGATAAAAAGTTTTCTTTTCACTTCCAATTGCCTTCTGATACCTTTAACTCATACTTTTTTGGTATTGAAATGGTTACATCGTCTCCCATCTTTATGTCCTGTTTTCAAAGCCATTTTCATCTAAAACTAATTGCTTTTTTGGTTTAAATTAAGGGGTTAAGCTTCAAGGCTATTTTTATCTAAATGTTAAGAAAATGAAGAAAACTTAGAATAAGATGAACAATAGGATAGATATGAAGAAGACCATCAACTCTCCTTTCCTTCTACCACAAAGAGAAAGCATAGAAAGGCAGGAGTTGTTTCAATGTTTTCTTTTAAAAACAACCTCAAATTCGACGGCTAAGATGGATAGAAAGGAGAGAGCAAAGAGTGGAATTGATGGGAAAGAAGAAATACGTGAATGTTGTTACTGGAGATGAGTTTTGTTCCGTCTTTGATAACTCAAAGAAGAAGAGCTATAATATGTTCTTTGCGGTGGTTGGTGTGGAAAGAGGAGGCGAATAGACCGACCCAGAAGGAGAATGGAGGATGAGACGGCTGTGAAGACAGTAATTCAATATGCACTTGTAAAAGTTGATACTTCAAATATGCTTAAGGTATTATAATATTATACTAATGACTCGGGATAATAATGATATTTTACATGTACTGTAGTTATATGGTATTCTACCAAAGACAAGGTTTATTTGATATTATACACTCGACTGGTGGTTATATGTATTGTAGGGTTTGATAATTTTACCAGCATAGTTTACTTATATAATATGTTACTTGCAATTTGGATTTACCTGTTATCCCGATATCTTGCTTCTGTCCTCGGGTTCATGGGCTGCGAATGGAAGATTCAGAACGGGATTTGCCCCAAAAACGCAAAGAAATTTACGAAGAAGAAGTACCGAAGAGAACAAGATGAACGAGAACATCAACTGTCCTCTCATTCTGCCACGAAGAGAAAGCGTAGAAAGGCGTGACTTGTTTCTTGGTTTTTTTAAAAACAACCCTCGAATTCGGCGGTTGAGTCCAATAAAAAGAGGAAAACAAAGAGTGGGATTGATGGGGAAGACGTGAATTTCGTTTCTGGAGATGGGATTTGTTCCGCGCATCTTTGATAACTCAAAGAAGAAGAACAGGATTAATGATAATATTCTTTGCAGTGATTGGTATGGAAAGAGGAGGAGAACAGAGCGAAGCGGAGGTGACGGTGGTGAAGACTGAGAGTAATTTAAGTGATGCTCCAAGTCTTGATGACGTGCTTTCGCAGTTCATTTACCAGGGGATTTGTATTAACGGTGAAACTAAAACCATGGAGAAGGATGAGGATGAGGATGAGGACAAAGCTTGTTTAGATGATTCTTTACCACCAATTTATGGAAGCTTGGGAGAAGAAGAAGTTGAAAAGAGTTGTTTGAAAATAGCAAGCGAGAATAGTCTATAACAAGTAGAAGTGAGAAAGGTTTCACCTTACTTTATGAATGGCTGTAAAGCTTCAAAATTGAAGGCTAAACGCATAAAGGTTTCACCGTACTTTAAAAAGGCGGTAACACTTGATAATGGTTATTGTGATTATCAGAAGTTTGATGAGGCTTATGAAAGAAAAAGTTGTTGGGCTTGGGTTTCCCTCGTGTGGAGGATAGCCCAAAATCTTAAAGCCCAAAAAAAAAAAAAAAAAGAGTTGAGTTATAGAATTTTTAGTCCGTCGGTCCTTCTTCAACTTGACGATCAGAAAGTCATATCTAGTCTGATCAATCTAATTTTTTGTCAGAATGTAGAGGACATTTAGCTCTTCAATTTGGATGGTTGATTTTCGATTTTAACGGTTGAGTTTAGAGTTATACGGCCTACATTTCAAGTGCTTTGCTGGTGATTTTTCTCTATCTTTTCGTGACTCTTGTGTATGTTACTTTGTTAGAGTTGTGATAAATCTCTAAATTTTGTGTGAAATATTATTGGTGATTTGTAGCTGTTGTAAACAATTTTTATTATAGTGGATTTAACTGGATCATTTGATCTCGTGGTTTTTTAATTTTTTCACATCAAAGAGGTTTTTCCAAGTAAAATTGCTTGTGTCTCTTGTGGATTGATTGTTGTTTCAGGCATATTTACTAAAGGTTTTGCTCCTTACAAATTCATTCAAGTAGGAAATATTTTGTTAGTGCATTATTTCCTGTCAAAAGTTTGGATAATACTTGGAAGCCTCTGCGTTCTGAACATGACCTTTTACAAGATCATTATCATGACCCTTGGAGGGTCTTGGTTATTTGTATGCTTCTTAACCATACGTCTGGTACGCAGGTATATTGTTATTGTTTCTTTTATATCGTGTTCTTGGTTTAGTTTAGTTTCTTATTGAGGTGAAATTTTACTTTGTTAGTGAGCTGTTTATATTTAACTCTTGTGGCTTGAGTTAGTAGATATAAGTTATTCGGCAAAAACATATAGGTTTCTAACAAGCTTGTCTAGTCAACTTGGCACTTATATTAGAGATTATAGGGTTTCAAAGAAGTTTCCTGTTTCTCTTTACTCTGCTTAGGAAATGAAAATTCTCGATACTGGTGGGTATTTTGTATGAACCAAGAAGTTAACTGTAATATAAATTGTAGTTTGTTTGGATAATGGATGGCTTTTCTTCATTTGGTTATATGTAATAATTCATGCTTCCTGACACATTCTTATTGCAACACCAATATACTTGGAAACAATCCCAAAATTGTTTCACAAATAGGAAGAACCCAATTTTCTTCTATATGCACCTTGTTGAGATTGTGAAACCAAATTCAATCAAAATTAGAGTTGGATTAGGACATTGGTTTTCCTAATTTGTGTTTAAGTATAATTGTTTTCTTTTAGGAATACAATTGGGAATATGATTATAATCGTATTAGGAATTAAAATATAAATTTGAGTCCTATTAGGAATTATGTCCCATGTATTACCTATAAAAATGGGTCAAGTCATAGAGTTAGAGATTATAAATTGAATAAAAGACAAAGACACAATTAGAGAGTGAGAGCCACCAAATAGGGTTTGGTGAGTGAGCCAATTTGTAAGGCTTGAGAGATTCTTGTAATTTTTCTTCTTCTTCATAGTGAAATTTCACAGCGGCAAAGTGGACGTAGCTCTCATACGGAGAGTGAACCACTATAAATCTTGTGTTTGTGTGTGTGGTTATTTTTGTGTCTTTTGTTCGCATTATTTTTGCTTTCAGGGATTTAGGATTTACTAGTATTCAATTAAATCCCCCCAACAACTGGTATCAGAGCAAGGTTCAAGGAAGAAAGCGATGGTTGGAGAAGGAGGATCTACACTTGGGATCAACTACTTTGATGGAATAGATTACGCATTCTGGAAGATGCAAATTGAAGATCATCTATATGGCAGAAAATTACATCTACCTCTCTTAGGAGAAAAACTCAAAAAGATGTCAGATGAAGATTGGGCACTCCTTGATAGACAAGTATTAGGAGTCATTCGATTGACATTGACCAAGAATGTGGCAAGAAACGTGGCGAAGGAGACAACCACAACAGGGTTGATGAAGATCTTATTTGATATGTATGAGAAGCATTCTACGAATAACAAGGTACATCTTATGAAAAAATTATTTAATCTTAAGATGAGAGAAGGTGCTTTCGTGACAGAGCATATGAATGATTTTAATACAATCATTAATTAATTGTTGTATGTAAAAATTGATTTTGATGAATAAGTTCGTGCCCTAATTCTTATGGCCTCCCTACCAAATAGTTGGGAGCCTATGAGAGCAGCAATTAGTAATTCAACAGGTAGTGCGAAATTAAAACTCACAAATGTTAGAGACACAATTCTCGCTGAGGAGGTTCGTAGGAAAGATTCGGGTGAGATAACATCGAATTCTTTTAATGTTAAAACAAGAGGCAGTGGCTACAATAGAAAATCAAATCGAGGCAGAGGAAGATCAAAATCAAGGAACAGAAGAAGCAAGTCTAGGTTTGGGAAAAAGGTTGAGTGCTAGAATTTTGGCAACAAAGGCCACATACAGAGGAATTGCAAAGCACCAAAGAAAGAGAAGAATAGCGATAATGATGCTGCCAATGCTATAACTAAGGAGGTACAAGATGCTTTACTATTATTTGTTGATAATTCTATTGACTCTTGGGTTTTAGATTCAGGAGCTTCATTTCATACCACTACACACCATGAAATTCTAGAAAATTATGTGGCTAGAAATCATGGAAAGGTATACCTAGCAGATGGAGAACCGTTGAATATTGTAGGTATGGGTGATGTTAGGTTGAAGATGGCAAACAGATCTGTGTGGAAAATCCAGAAAGTAAGGCATGTACCAAAATTGATGCGCACTCTAATATCAGTTGGGCAACTTGACGATGAAGGGCATAGTGTGTCTTATTTGGGTGGTGCATGGAAAATTACTAAAAAAGCCATGGTGGTTGCTCGTGGAAATAAAACTGGAACTCTTTACATGACTTCTAGTTACAAAGATTCAGTTGCAGTCGCTGATTCTAGTGTTACCTCGAGTTTGTGGCATTGTAGACTTGGGCATATGAGCGTGAAAGGAATAAAGGAGCTTCAATCAAAGGGAAAACTATCAGAGTTGAAGTCGATTGATCACAGTTTGTGTGAAGATTGCATCCTTTGCAAACAAAGAAGAGTAAGTTCTTTGAAAGTAGCAATGGAACCAAAGACAAAGAAGTTGGAGTTGGTTCATACAAACATGTGGGGCCCCACCCCTGAGTCATCCGTTGGAGGTTCAAA